AAGACTGACCTGAAGCTGTTGTACGCCACATCATAGAAACAACAGTCAAGGACCAGTAATCAGACTGAGGAAGGGTGATGGAATTCACAAGAAACGACCAGAGGTATGTCAGGAGCTCAACACCAGATTTAAAGAGGTATTACAGTGGAGACCATAGACTCCAGGAAATCAAACAGGGGGCCACCACAAGTGCTGTTGAGGTGAAGAAGCTGCTATGTCGAACTTGAACACCATCAAAGGTGTGGGACAAGACAACATCACTCCATGGTCCTAAAGAGTGAGCAGAGATAATATGTGAGCCATTAACAAAGATCTTCAACACATCCATTGAAACTGGGCAACTCCCAGAGGATGGAAATGGCAAATGTAGTCCCAATTTTAAAAAAGGGAAGACAGCCCATGAGTACTAAACTACAGACCGGTATCACTAACGTGCATAGTATTCAAGTTCATGGAGAAGAATTCATCAGGCGGATAGTGGTTGGGCACATGGAAAGAAACAAGTGTATAATTGACAACCAGCACGGTTTTCAGGGAAGGAAAATCCTGTCACAAACCTACTAGAGTTTAAAGACAAGGGACAGAAGTAAGACAAGAAGGAGAGGGGTGATCGACTGCATCTTTTTGGAACTGCAAGAAGGCCTTCGACACAGTTCCTCACAAGAGGTTACTGCAAAAGCTAGAGGATCAGGCACACATAACAGGAAAGGCACTGCAATGGATCAGAAATACCTGACAGGGAGGCAACAACGAGTCATGGTACGCGACGAGGTGTCAGAGTGGGCGCCTGTGACAAGCGGGGTTCCACAGGGGTCAGTCCTAGGACCTGTGCTGTTCTTGGTATATGTGAACGACATAACGGAAGGAAGACTCAGAAGTGTCCTTGTTTGCAAGATGATGCGAAGTTAATGAGAAGAATCAAATCGGATGAGGATCAGGCAGGACTACAAAGAGACCTGGACAGGCTACAAGCCTGGTCCGCAACTGGCTCCTTAAAATTTAACCCTGCCAAATGCAAAGTCATGAAGATTGGGGAAGGGCAAAGAAGACTGCAGACACAATATAGTTTAGATGGCCAAAGACTGCAAACCTCACTAAAGGAAAAGATCTGGGGGTGAGTATAACGCCGAGCATAACTCCTGAGGCGCAAAACAATCAGATAACTGCTGCAGCATACGGCGCCTGGCAAACCTACGGATAGCTTTTCCCGGGATACCTCAGAAAAGGATTCGTTTAAGACTCGTATACCATTTACGCAGGCCCATACTGGAGTATGCAGCACCAGTTTGGAATCCACACCTAGTCAAGCACGTCAAGAATTAGAGAAAGTGCAAAGGTTTGCAACAAGACTAGTCCCAGAGCTACGGGGATTGTCCTACGAAGAAAGGTCAAAGGAAATCGGCCTGACGACACTGGAGGACAGGAGGGTCAGGGAGACATGATAACGACATAAAAGGTACTGCGGGGAAATTTAACAAGGTGGACAAAGACGGGATGTTTCCAGAGATGGGACACAGACACAAGAGGTCACAATTGGAATTGAAGACTCAGATAAATCAAAGGATGTTAGGAAGTATTTTTTCAGTCATAGAGTAGTCAGGCCGTGGAATAGCCTAGAAAGTGACGTAGTGGAGGCGGGAACCATACATAGTTTTAAGGCGAGGTATGATAGAGCTCATGGGGCAGGGAAGAGGGGAAACCTAGCAGCAATCAGCGAAGAGGCGGGGCCAGGAGCGTGACTCGCCCCCTGCAACCACAAATGGGTGAGAAATAGGTGAGTACACACACCCACACACACACACACGCACACACACACACACACACACACACACACACACACACACACACACACACACACACACACACACACACACACATACCAGGGAAGAGGCGAGGCCAGGAGCTGTGAATCGACCCTTGCAAATCACAAACAGGAAAGTACACTTAAGAGTTGTTAGGAAGTGGAACAATCTGGAGAGTAATGTAGTGGAGGCAGGATCCACACATACCTCATGGAGCAGGGAGAGAGTGACCTAGCAGCGACCAGCGAAGAGGCGAGGCCAGGAGCTGTGACTCGACCTCTTCAACCACATAGGTAAGTGCACGCATTCTCCCTTTCTCCATTTATTTCTCACTATTTGGTGTTTATTCTAAATTTGATTTTACACAAGTGTACTCACCTAATTGTGGTTGCAGGGGTCGAGACTCAGCTCCTGGCCCCGACAAGTGTGTGTGTGTGTGTGTGTGTGTGTGTGTGTGTGTGTGTGTGTGTGTGTGTGTGTGTGTGTGTGTGTACGCGCGTGTGCTCAGTACAGTCGCAAACAGATCTTAATGCTCAAGAACCCAGGTGGAGGTTGGAAATCTATAGCTCAAGATCTTTCGCGCTCTTGTGCGTCGTCAGGAGCTCATGCAATACTCAACTCTCTATCACCCTTTCGGGATTAGCGCTTAATTTGATTACAGTGTTAGTGGAATACTCGCCTTCGTCCATGATAGGTGGATGTCAGCCTAACCACAGCTTCGTGGGTAGTAGGTAGCTGTCAGCCTAGCCACAGCCTGGTCACCTCTTGGATAGTAGGTAGCTGTCAGCCTAGCCACAGCCTGGTCACCTCTTGGATAGTAGGTAGCTGTCAGCCTAGCCACAGCCTGGTCACCTCGTGGGTAGTAGGTAGCTGTCAGCCTAGCCACAGCCTGGTCGCCTCGTGGGTAGTAGGTAGCTGTCAGCCTAGCCACTGCCTGGCCACCTCGTGGTAGTAGGTAGCCGTCAGCCTAGCAGCAGCCTGATCACCTCGTGGTAGTAGGTAGCCGTCAGCCTAGCCACAGCCTGGTCACCTCGTGGTAGTAGGTGGCCGTCAGCCTAGCCACAGCCTGGTCACCTCGTGGTAGTAGGTAGCCGTCAGCCTAGCCACAGCCTGGTCACCTCGTGGTAGTAGGTAGCCGTCAGCCTAGCCACAGCCTGGTCACCTCGTGGTAGTAGGTAGCCGTCAGCCTAGCCACAGCCTGGTCACCTCGTGGTAGTAGGTAGCCGTCAGTCTAGCAACAGCCTGGTCACCTCGTGGTAGTAGGTAGCCGTCAGCCTAGCCACAGCCTGGTCACCTCGTGGTAGTAGGTAGCCGTCAGTCTAGCAACAGCCTGGTCACCTCGTGGTAGTATGTAGCCGTCAGCCTAGCAACAGCCTGGTCACCTCGTGGTAGTATGTAGCCGTCAGTCTAGCAACAGCCTGGTCACCTCGTGGTAGTAGGTAGCCGTCAGCCTAGCAAACAGCCTGGTCACCTCGTGGTAGATGTAGCTGTCAGCCTAGCAACAGCCTGGTCACCTCGTGGTAGTATGTAGCCGTCAGCCTAGCCACAGCCTGGTCACCTCGTGGTAGTAGGTAGCCGTCAGCCTAGCCACAGCCTGGTCACCTGCTGCATAAACTGTTCAACTCCACGTCTCATAACCCACTACTGCAACACTGTTACATTATACTGGCAGCTTCACATCAAGACGATACTGAATCCAGGTATCTCGGTGACACTGTCGAGGTGGACAGTGATGCTGGTGGTATATATAGTCTGTGTTGAGGCAGGAAGTGTGTGTGGACATCAGTGATGAACACATTTGTATATGTCTGACCAGTAACAGTGGTAACTCCTCTGACCGGATATTGCACCAACGCCTCTTCTTATCTATTCCCTCCACTGCTGTACTCACCTAGTTGTGGTTGCAGGGGTCGAGTCACAGCTTCTGGCCCCCGCCTCTTCACTGGTCGCTACTGGTTTACTCTCCCTGAACCATGAGCTTTATCATACCTCTGCTTAAAGCTATGTATGGATCCTGCCTCCACTACATCGCTTCCCAAACTATTCCACTTCCTGACTACTCTGTGGCTGAAGAAATACTTCCTAACATCCCTGTGATTCATCTGTCTTCAGCTTCCAACTGTGTCCCCGTGTTGCTGTGTCACATCTCTTGAATATGTCTTTGTCCACCTTGTCAATTCATCTCAGTATTTTATATGTCGTTATCATGTCCCCCCTCTCTCTCCTGTCCTCCAGTGTCGTCAGGTTGATCTCCTCGTGCTACCATAACCAAGCAATGTATATAATCCCTTCATCTTAGCGCCTCAAAATAATTTCAACAATATTCATTTATCGTTGTTCAAGTCACTGGAAATTAAAAATATATCCACACAAAGCTTCTCAGATTAATACACCGCCTTGGGAAACAGGTAATTATGCTTGAGTCAAGGAAGAAAATAGGTATCGCAGGAGACTCAGGTACCTATTTCGGGGGAGACAACATTTTTCAGTTTTAAACATTTATTGGGGGGTGTAGTGTTTTTTTTACAAATTTAAATTCAGTTCAAATTCAAGTTTATTCCCACAGGATATATTGTTTATTCATGACTGTGTGACCTTATAAACGAAATACCTCCAGAAAAGCAGTGGTCACGTGCGTGCATGGCCCTGACCAGAGCAGATATCTAGAAGGAATGTGGGGTAGCAGGTCCCTAAAATATGTACGTGATGCTGGTGAAGGTTACTTCATACAACCAGCCTTTCACCACTAAGCGTTTCTTTAATATCTTTATTATGCACCCACATCCATCCTATGGGTGTTAATTAGCATATTTCACAGGCACATAATGGGTCCAGGGACTGTACCTCAACATTACAGAGGTACATAATGGGTCCAGGGACTGTACCTCAACATTACAGAAGTACATAATGGGTCCAGGGACTGTACCTTAACATTACAGAGGTACATAATGGGTCCAGGGACTGGTCCTCAACTTTAAGAAGAAACACAATGGTTCCGGGGACTGTACCTTAACATTACAGAGGTACATAATGGGTCCAGGGACTGTACCTCAACATTATAGAGGTACACAATAGGTCCAGGGACTGTACCTCAACTATGTAAAATATTTAATTTTCTATCTGAATTATAGTGCCTAATAGGTGTTTAATGTGTTGATGTTGGTCAAAAAATGTATTTGAAAATAGAAGAGAACCAACAGGGAACCTCTGCGCCTGCGCTGATGGGCAGAGGGGAGGCTGAGGTGGGCATCGGGGGTCTTGTTGAGGGTATAAGCCTGGGAGAGTGTGCTAGTTAACATGGAACCAGGAAATTGGCGGTTCTGATGGTCGAAATATGATTACTGGTCCCATTTCATAATAAGAAGTGTCGTAACTTTTCCTAATGAAGAGTGAAGGAACGTAATATGCTGGACCACTATAACCAGGTGGTAAAATTAGTAAATAGTGAGGGACGCCAAGCCAGGTATGACGGGGCACGCCATGACGAGTGTTCGGGGGAAGGTTACCAGACTATTTAATCGACACTCATTGAGCTCAGATCTTAATGGAGCTACCTCTAATGTGTGTAAAATTCATAAAACGTTAAGTCTTGTGAATTGTAGTGAAATCAGTGTTAATAGCACTAAGTTAAGGAATGGTTGAAGTGATATGAGCCGCCATTCCCCGAGTGAGTGAGCACATTTTAACCTCGTGATTCTGGTCCCGAGGATCATGAAGGTTTTACGAAGTCACGGCTCCTAAACCGGGACAAACCAACATTTACCTCGTCCTGCTGGAATAAGAACCGTATTGGTGTAGTAGGACATTGAAATGAGATGGTGGATGGAGGAAATAAGGAGCATCAAGCACCCACAGACCCACAGTTAAGTAACCTTTCTAGTTATAGCAAACTGATACTGGCCAGTTAGGTATGTTATAATATGATAACATTGTGGGTGATCCAGCTACATCAAGTGACCACCAGAGGAAATCTGGTAAGTGGTAGTCTCGTTATGTTCACGTGTATCCCTTCCCTCCCCTATACATGTACATACAGTCCACAACTTATTTGTAATGCCATGCCTATTGGTGTTATCCAACCTTATTCTACGGTACTGGTCTAGGATGGATGTGGATAAGATTTGTGAGGTCGAAGGGGCCTATAGAAAATTTTATAGGAGTGATTACGTGTACATACCTCAACATTACATGCATACAAGTAATCTCCTTGGGAGACAACAACGATATTGTTTACCGTAGTCACCCATGTAGACATGTGAGAAAACTTAACCACCTCTGGTCACTGCAGGTGGCCCCTCGACCCTCACAATCTTATCCATATCTATCCGAGACCAGTATAAATTGGGTAGCACCCTCAAGTACGGCGCTACTAATTAATTGTGGACTGTATAGATTATATTAGTTTAACTGAATGAGGGGGGGGGGGTAGGTTACACATGGATATACCCATCAAGGAAAAAACACTTGTACATAATCCCCCAAACTTACCAGATATTCTCGGGTGGTCACTTGATGTGGCTGGTCACCCATAACCTATCCAATTAAAACATAACCTAAATGGCCAGTATCAGTCTGCCATAACTAGAAAGGTTACTTAACTGTGGGTGATTGATGCTCCTTATTTCCTCCATTCACCATCTTTTTTTCGATGTCCTGCTACACCGACACGGTTCTTATTCCAGCAGGACGAGGTATCCGTTGGCTTGCCCCGGTTTAGAAGTCTTTGTTTCCCCATAAAACTTCGCTATCCTCGGGACGAGAACCACGCGTTCACTCGGAGCAGGGCGATTTATTTCACTTCCCGCATTCTCTTAACTTAATGTTTTTATCACTGTTTAAACATTACCATTCACAAGACGATTTAACGTTCATAATTATTATACACTTAGAGGTCACTCCATTAAGATCTGAGACCGTTTGAGTGAGGATTAACTCACGGGTAATTTCCCCTGGACACATTCCATGGCGGCACACCCGTCACCCCCGGTCCTACTATTATGCACTTATTTTACCACTTTATCACGGTGGTCACGTAAATCTTGTTCCCTCACTCTTCACCAGGAACAATTACGACACTTCCTATTAGGAAGTGAGGCCTATATTAATCCTTAGGCCGCCGTGAACGCCAATTTCCTGATCCCATGTTTCCCAGCCTCCTCACTACATTTAAAACACTGCTGCCACCCTGTGCACCAGCTCGACCTATACCCCCCCCCCGCACATCTGCGCAGGCGCAGCGGGAACCCAGTTGGTTCCATTCAAAATACAAATACATTTTGACCCAAATCAACACATTAAACACTTATTAGGCACTATAGCTTCGGAAATTAAAGAATTTCCACAGGGCCACCTGCAGCAACCAGGGGTGGCTTAAGTTTTCTCACACGTCTACACGGGGTAACTACTGTAAACAATATATGGTTGTCACCTTACATGATATTACTTCTATGACTGTAATGCTGAGGTACATTCCAGTTATTTAATTTCCACATCAACATTACAGAGGAACATAATGGGTCCAGGGACTATACCTCAACATTACAGAAGTACATAATGGGTCCAGGGACTATACCTCAACATTACAGAAGTACATAATGGGTCCAGGGACTATACCTCAACATTACAGAAGTACATAATGGGTCCAGGGACTGTACCTCAACATTACAGAGGTACATAATGGGTCCAGGGACTGTACCTCAACATTACAGAAGTACATAATCGGTCCAGGGACGTACCTCACATTACAGAAGTACATAATGGGTCCAGGGACTGTACCTCAACATTACAGAATTACATAATGGGTCCCGGGACTGTTGTCAACATTACAGAAGTACATAATGGGTCCAGGACTGTACCTCAACAAAATTTCAGAAGTACTAATGGTTTCCCGGGACTGTACCTCAACATTACAGAGGTACATAATGGGTCCAGGGACTGTACCTCAACATTACAGAAGTACATAATGGGTCCAGGGACCCGTACCTCAACATTACAGAAGTACATAATGGGTCCAGGGGCTGTACCTCAACATTACAGAAGTACATAATGGGTCCAGGGACTGTACCTCAACATTACAGAAGTACATAATGGGTCCAGGGACTGTACCTCAACATTACAGAAATTTCATAAATGGGTCCAGGGACTGTACCTCAACATTACAGAAGTACATAATGGGTCCAGGGACTGTACCTCAACATTACAGAAATACATAATGGGTCCAGGGACTGTACCTCAACATTACAGAAGTACATAATGGGTCCAGGGACTGTACCTCAACATTACAGAAGTACATAATGGGTCCCGGGACTGTACCCCCAACATTTTAGAAAATACATAAAAGGGTCCAGGGACTGTACCTCAACATTACAGAAGTACATAATGGGTCCAGGGACTGTACCTCAACATTACAGAGGTACATAATGGGTCCAGGGACTGTACCTCAACATTACAGAGGTACATAATGGGTCCAGGGACTGTACCTGAACATTACAGAGGTACATAATGGGTCCAGGGACTATACCTCAACATTACAGAAGGCATAAGGGCCCAGGGACTGTTTCCTCAACATTACAGAGGTACATAATGGGTCCAGGGACTGTAGCTCAACATTACAGAAGTACATAATGGATCCAGGGACTGTAGCTCAACATTACAGAAGTACATAATGGGTCCAGGGACTGTACCTCAACATTACAGAAGTACATAATGGGTCCAGGGACTGTACCTCAACATTACAGAAGTATTTAAAGGGTCCAGGGACTGTACCTCAACATTACAGAGGTACATAATGGGTCCAGGGACTGTACCTCAACATTACAGAGGTACATAATGGGTCCAGGGACTGTACCTCAACATTACAGAGGTACATAATGGGTCCAGGGACTGTACCTCAACATTACAGAGGTACATAAAAGGGTCCAGGGGACTGTACCTCAAAATTACAGAAGTACATAATGGTCAGGGACTGTACCTCAACATTACAGAAGTACATAAAAGGGTCCAGGGGCTGTACCTCAACATTACAGAAGTACATAATGGGTCCAGGGACTGTTCCTCAACATTACAGAGGTACATAATGGGTCCAGGGGCTGTACCTCAAAAATTACAGAAGTACATAATTTGGGGCCAGGGACTGTTTCCTCAACATTACAGAAGTACATAATGGGTCCAGGGACTGTACCTCAACATTACAGAAGTAAAATAATGGGTCCGGGACTGTACCTCAACATTACAGAGGTACATAATGGTCCAGGGGCTGTACCTCAACATTACAGAGGTACATAATCGGTCCAGGGAAATGTACCTCAACATTACAGAGGTACATAATGGGTCCAGGGACTGTACCTCAACATTACAGAGGTACATAATGGGTCCAGGGACTGTACCTGAACATTACAGAAGTACATAATGGGTCCAGGGACTGTACCTCAACATTACAGAGGTACATAATGGGTCCAGGACTGTACCTCAACATTCAGAAGTACATAATGGGTCCAGGGACTGTACCTCAACATTACAGGGGGTACATAATGGGTTCCAGGGACTGTACCTCAACATTACAGAGGTACTAATCGGTCCAGGGACTGTACCTCAACATTACAGAGGTACATAATGGGTCCAGGGACTGTACCTCAACATTAGAGGTACATAATGGGTCCAGGGACTGTACCTCAACATTACAGAAGTACATAATGGGTCCAGGGACTGTACCTCAACTTTTCAGAGGTACATAATGGGTCCAGGGGCTGTACCTAAACATTACAGAAGTACATAATGGTCCAGGGACTGTACCTCAACATTTTCAGAAGTACATTTAAAGGGTCCAGGGACTGTACCTCAACATTACAGAGGTACATAATGGGTCCAGGGACTGTACCTCAACATTACAGAAGTACATAATGAGTCCAGGGACTGTACCTCAACATTACAGAGGTACATAATGGGTCCAGGGACTGTACCTCAACATTACAGAGGTACATAATGGGTCCAGGGACTGTACCTCAACATTACAGAAGTAACATAATGGGGGCCAGGGACTGTACCTCAACATTACAAGGTACATAATGGGTCCAGGGACTGTTACCTCAACATTACAGAAGTACATAAGAGTCCAGGGACTGTACCTCAACATTACAGAGGTACATAATGGGTCCAGGGACTGTACCTCAACATTACAGAGGTACATAATGGGTCCAGGGACTGGCCTACAAAGTTCTGATAGCAAAACAAGTTACAGTGGTGATGAACTGTTCACATGTTTATATCCACTTGGAAAATCCTAGAGGAATTAGTACCAAATTTACATATGAAAATCACTCCCTGTGAAAGCAGACGATGCAACGTCCCCCCAATGTAAAGCAGTGGTACCACTAGCATGATAAGAGACAACACAAGTGTCAGGAGCCCAAGACTGTTCAAGTGCCACCTGGTACATAAGGAGGATTACCAATAGACCCTGGCTGCCTTCAAGAAGGCACTGGACAAGCACCTAAAGTCATTACCTGACCAGCCGGGCTGTGGTTCATACGTCGGTTTATGTGCGGCCAACAGTAACAGCCTGGTTGATCAGGCCCTGATCCACCATGAGGCCTGGTCACGGACTGGGCCACAGGGGCATTGACCCCCGGAACCCTCTCCAGGTATACTCCAGGTATGGTTGAACCCTCACATGAGACGTATGGGGAATTCAAACACCTGTTGCTCCTACCCAGTCCCTAGACCTATTATGTACCTCTGTAATCTTTTGACTACTGCCCACAGGATGGGTATAGGGTGCATAAGAAAGATATTAAACTGACTCCTGGTCACCAAGCAGTAAGGAGGTACCTGGTGGTAAGAGCCATGGTGCCCCATGGCCTGGTGGCAAGAGCTCTTGTTTCACATGGTGAGGGTCCGGGGTTCGATTCCTGGCGAAGGGGTGAAAACATTGGACGTGTTTCCTTACACCGGTTGTCTGTGTTCACCCATTAATAAAATGGGTACCTGGGTGTTAGTGGACTGGTGCGGGTCGTATCCTGGGACAAAACTGACCTAATTTGCTGGAAATGCTCTGCATAACAAGGGGCTTTCTATATAGTAGTATGTCATTAATATCAGATAGGCCAGTATACCTTGTACATGTAGTAAATAAAGATATAATTATTATTAGTAGTAACTGATTTGATTGGCATCCTGGCGGGGGAGCCAGAATTTCTTTACTGGGAGGTGGGGGATAGATGTGGCCATAGGAAGGGAGGGGAGGGGGGCTAGGAGACTAGTTTTGATTCAGTTTTTATTATTATTTCGGGGGGGTGAAGCCTCCCCCTGGTGCCCCCCACCCTCCCCTGCATCCTTAGAATGCAAAGGAAATGAGCCACGTTGCTTTATTTCTATAAGTACACGTACAAGGTATACAGACCATAACTGACATCAGCTTGTTATGCAGAGCATTTCAGGCAAATTAGGTAAATGGCTCACGAAATCGTAATGACAAGATTGCAAACAAACCATACCACAGGTGGGGTTTGAACCTGTGGTCAGAGAGTCTCAGAACTCCAGACCGTTGTGTTAGGTGAATTTTGTTTCCATGATGCGACCCACAGCAGTAGACTAACACCCAGGTACCAATTTTACTGATTGGTAAACAGGAACAGCAGGTGTCTTCAGGAAACACGTCCTAATGTTTCCACCTGTACCTGAGATCGAACCACGGAACTTACTGTGTGAGCTGAGTGCACTACCAATAGAGCTCTGGGACACCTTGAGTTATTTTGGGGTATTAACTCTGGGCTTATCCTGGGATGTTAATCTTTTGGGGTTACTAATCCGGATCAAAATGCGTGCTAAAGGAATAAGAGGAAAAGTCGGTCGATAGATCTATAATTTCCTCACTAACAGAACACAGAGAGTAGTCGTCAACAGAGTAAAGTCCGAGGCAGCTACGGTGAAAAGCTCTGTTCCACAAGGCACAGTACTTGCTCCCATCTTGTTCCTCATCCTCATATCCGACATAGACAAGGATGTCAGCCACAGCACCGTGTCTTCCTTTGCAGATGACACCCGAATCTGCATGACAGTGTCTTCCATTGCAGACACTGCAAGGCTCCAGGCAGACATCAACCAAATCTTTCAGTGGGCTGCAGAAAACAATATGAAGTTCAACGATGAGAAATTTCAATTACTCAGATATGGTAAAAAATGAGGAAATTAAATCTTCATCAGAGTACAAAACAAATTCTGGCCACAAAATAGAGCGAAACACCAACGTCAAAGACCTGGGAGTGATCATGTCGGAGGATCTCACCTTCAAGGACCATAACATTGTATCAATCGCATCTGCTAGAAAAATGACAGGATGGATAATGAGAACCTTCAAAACTAGGGAGGCCAAGCCCATGATGACACTCTTCAGGTCACTTGTTCTATCTAGGCTGGAATATTGCTGCACACTAACAGCACCTTTCAAGGCAGGTGAAATTGCCGACCTAGAAAATGTACAGAGAACCTTCACGGTGCGCATAACAGAGATAGAACACCTCAATTACTGGGAGCGCTTGAGGTTCCTAAACCT